AAATCTCTTGTAGAATACTAAATAAGGTAGTGCAAAAGTCGTAGGAGCATTGAAAAGTCGATTTGTTTCTTCTATATTTTACATAAACTAAAAAACATCATAATTCTAGTGTAAACGATGTTATCATAAACCCTTTGAAGTTAGCTTTCTTACAAATATATGATGTTCCTTTAAAAAGCTTAAGTACAAGGTGAAACAGGAATTACCAGCCAATAATAGATGAACATTGGATGACTGTAACATGTACTTACTCAATGCATTATACACTATACAATCGTTGTCTTTGGGGAGCCAACTCGTATATTATGTATGAAGTGAGGTAGTAAAAAACAATTCACATAATATTACATCTTGTTACACACATTCGTAGAATAATTACTTTAAAAGACACAAAAGTTTATTTAAAGAGGTGTTTTAGACGTACATATATTTTACTTGAAAATTCCGCTTTTCTACTGGTAAACTTTTATACGCACTTGGTGGGTGTTGTGTCTTTTTCTAAGCATATATTTGCCATTGCTATGCATTAGATATAGAGAATTTAGTTACACAGAATCTATAAATGCTCACTATAGTTTCAAACAAATCTCCATAACAATCTCCAGCTGCAGCTTAATATTTTACATCTCGAACTAATGCAATCAAATAGGCAATAGCTACAGTAAATCATCATAAACCGTATCAGCTAGCTTCTAGCTATGTTTATTATAATTACAATATATACATTTAGCTACCATATCAAGTAACCCTTTGCCAATAGTTAAGCATACAAAAAAACAAACAAAATAAATAAAAAAATGGGTTTTTAAAAACCTGCAACTACGAATCGAAAAAACAAATTATAGAAACAAGGCTGGAGATACTGTAGACATTATTTACTGAAACTACAAATTCTTATTCTGACTCCACCAAATGTAATTTGAGGTAACAGCATGAAGCCAAAATAGGTGTTTGTAGTTTGAGTAAATAATGTCTACAGTATATCCAGCCTTGTTTCTCTAGATTTTTTGCGATTCTTACTTGTAGGTTTTTAAATTCACGATTTTTTAAAATTATCATGTCATATTACGAACTGTTAACATTGTAATTGTAATTTTACAAATTGTCACTAGAGGGCAGGTATTACACGATGACCTTGTTATCGTAATTATGAGATTTGTTCGCTTTACAACTTGCTAGATTGCACAGACGTGTTTTGTTAGTAAATACAACTGAACCAAATCAAAAACTGAAAAAGTCTGTTTCAGAACACTTCATATTTGTCGAATTGATACAAAAAGAATAAGTTTTTTTAACACTTTATTTATATTTCAATATGTTAAATATAGACGAACTAAATGTTTCATTGCTAATAAATGTTTCAGGTAACAAGAAATATATATGGTGACCAATGATAAGAAATGAAGTCATTATAAAACAATGAACATTGTAGGTATGATAGAAATGATGTTTCATAGTGCACATGAAATAATAGTACCAATGAACACACAGCTGATTTGTTGTCTGTATATGTGTTATGTTGTCATTGTGTTTCAATGTTCTACTCATTTAAGCTATACTACAATAACATTTTCTAAAAAAAATCGAATTTATGGTGAAGGCTACTTGTCTATCGTTATCTAGGATTGCAATAGGCCATATGATACCAAAATAATTATTGAATTATTATTATTACACATTTTAACATTTAATGGTTTGTTACGTGATCTGAAGAAAATTAATACATTGGTTTATATATAAATACAAATATATATATATATATATATATGTATATATATGTGTGTGTATTCCTTTGAGAGATAGTGAAGCATCAAAATCCTATAAATCGTTTGGATGACGTTTTATCGTGCCTGTAACGAGCGATTTATGATATATTTGCCATTGTTTCGTTATATAGATATAGGTAAATTAGTAACCAAAGTGCACGCAGTTCAACAGAATTTTACAGCAAAATCGAAATGTTACGATTCATCAAAGATGTATTTATAATTTTACACACACAAATATATATATGTGTGTATGTGTATGTATAAATTACATGTAATTTTATGGAGAGAGAGAAAGAAAAAGAAAGCATTTTGGATTTTTGGAAAGTAAGACCCAAGTACTATCCGGTGGAAGTAAGACCCAAGTAATATCCGGTAGAAGTAAGACCCAAGTAATATCCGGTGGAAGTAAGACCCAAGTAATATCCGGTGGAAGTAAACCCAAGTACTCTCCGGTGGAAGTAAGACCCAAGTAATATCCGGTGGAAGTAAGACCCAAATTGCCTTGAGGGTACACCATCCATCAAGTTTATCGTCAACTTCGCTCTAGCTCACAACGTCCCACATCTTTATCAACTTCCCTTGTTTGCAGCTAGATGTTGGAAGGTGGTCGCCCACAAAAAAATAAATAAGTAAAATAAAAACAGTAATATTATTATTTATTTATTTTTGCGAGCAACCACCTATCTGCACTCTGTCAACCGCGTGGAATCGAAAGCAGGATTATAGCGTCCCAAAATCTACTTATAATATTATCACTGTTTTCTTTTTTTTTGTATACTTAGTTGGCGTTGAAGCAGATGTTCGCTTTTTAGGTGTAAGGCAAGTACACGCGGCTGGTTACACTTTCCATCGGAATCAAGAGAAAGTCTGAAATTGACATTTAAGTATATTTGTGACTTTTGCTTTGGAATTTTTAAAATAGTATCAGAGCCAGAGGAACATATGAATATGGAAGACATTCATAAATTAGACATAAACTATTCAACTGTTTGGGGTGTTGTCATATTTGGTGGAGGGAATGTTCAATTGGATGAAAATTTCTTAATGTTAAGAATTCCGGTCATTTCTCTGAACATGTTCATCAGACACGAGAAGAATATCGGAAAGGTTTCTTAAATAATAGTTACTTATGATCCAATATACAGAAGGTTATTAACGTGGTTAATAGTATACCGAAATTCTATAGTTTCTTTTTTTCACTCTGAAAATTATCTACAATAAAAGCAGTAGCTTCACATTATATTTATTCATAATTTTATACGAACTTTTTCGTCAAATAATATTACATTTGAGTAGATTCATATCTACCAATATTAAGTAGATGACATCTAACTCAATATTTGTTTTGTTTCAGTTGTGACAAAAGCAAGTATTTCAAACAATTAAGGATGCTGGAGTGAAAGAAAAAGAACTAACAATAGAAGCAGGAGATACAGATGGTGATGGCAAACCATTTATTACTGCTTACGCTGATGGTGATTGGTCTTATTGCAGTCACGGGCAGAAATATACTGCAAAGATTGGTTGTGCTGCTATAATTGGTTTCCGTACAAAACAACTGTTATATCTGGGTGTGAGGAACAAGTTTTATAGCACTTATTTACGAAATAAATCAACAACAGAACAATCCAGGAAAAAACCTGCAACAAGTCTTATTCCAGTCACGATAAGTATATGACGATGCATTAGAACAACAGTGTGTAACACAATCAAGAAGGATTTCCATCTGGAAATGAAACCAACTAGGACGGGCTCACCAATATAAGGTTTCCAATCATACTGCCCGTCCAAGTGTTACATATCTTAAGCATTTGGAGATAGAAACCTGTATTCATGCTATTCCATATGAAGATATACCAGTCATCTTGATGAATGAAGCACTTATAGATTTCTGTGTGATGGGACCATTGAAACGGGTGCTAGGAAACCGTCATCCTAGTACATTAAATGGATTACGGAAAAGTGAAGGGAAAAATGGTTTACTTTGGATAGAGCCTTTCGTAATCTAAATTATGCTGTCAAAGTGCATGCTTGTCAAATAAAGTATGATTGGACGTGGTGATATAGATTGTAATGACTTGATAAATCTCGAAAATCGTCTTAATATAATGTTCTCAACCCTCGGTATGTATATGTTGTACTTACATACTTAGGCACATCGGTATTTTACATTGTCTATACATACAAAAACTTTTTTCTACTGTGTAATTTATTCTTTTATTATTACTATTTCATTTAGTATTTGTATTACCACTATTTAATTCTTTTTTGTGTACCATTTTTACTTTTTGTATTTTTGAATTTTAGAAACCAGAGTTATTAGTTATCCTTTATAAATATGAAATTGTACCTCACAATTACACACCATTTTATTATTATTATTACATTTTTCAATAACTCTTTGAATACACTTAAAACTTCAATAAATATTTTTTTCAATTTAATTTTGTGCTAAATTTTAAACAACACTGATGAATCTTCCGTAGATCTTTGTATGATGCTCATTTCAAACGTGCTACATTTTAGAACCCTTTGTGTATTAAATATTTTATTCAATTAAAATCTAAAATCAACAGGAGAGTGTTCTTGACCAAAATGAAGTGAACACTAAAAGTGTCAGTTGTTACTTAGCACTAGATTTTGATATATGTTTATTTTCCTTTTTGATTTTGATAAATAATGCTGCCAGTTCACCTGTATTACTGGTATTAAAGTAAATAATAATATGCTGTAGTTTAAATTAAACTACTGTAAACTAACAGCTAAGAATTGCTGTACTTTATGATGTACTATTTGTGATAGTCTTCATTTTGTTCCATGAAAGATCTATTTATAAGTGTAAAGTATTTAAACATTTATTTAGCAACACGAAAAGGGAAACACATTCACTTCATTTCGTCAATGAAAGCAGGAAACTTATTAATCCACGAAATATAATATTTCATTTTCATTTCACGTATGAAATAAATAGAAATTAAAATCAATTTTTGCATCTAATAAATATTTACTTGTATATTTGATTTCTTTGTTTGAAGTTACGCACAAAGCTACACAATGGGCTATCTGTGCTCTGCCCACCACGGGTATCGAAACCCGGTTTCTAGCATTGTAAGCCCACAGACATACCACTGTGTCGCTGGGGGGGGGGGCTTACTTGTATGTTTCAGCCATCAAATTATGATATATTGGCATATGTTGCACTTTATATATCATGTACTAGTTAATTTTTACCTTCATCATGGGACTATCTCCTCCTTTGAATGTTGTCATTCTTCACACCTCGGTTCAACTGTGAGTGTTTCAACATTATCCTTAGTATAGAACACCATCATTAGAATTAATGAGATTCTCCTGTCTTGGTTATTCGTGGGATGTACGAGTCGCCAAGGTCATCACATGTATTTTCCTTCAGAAGAGATCATGTAACATGAATGATAATATTCATAAAAGTAGTGAACCATGTGACTGTCTATTGGTATGACTGCTACTTTGTTGACATGAGAATAATTAGTTGTTGTCCTGGATACCACGTGACATGCCTCCGGAGGGCATCACATGCTTTTCGATCTTAGTTAATGAGGAGGGAGAGGAAAAGGGTAGAGACGATGATACCAGATGGCACATTGTTACAGACATGTTGGTAGGCCGCCATGACAGGTGGACATGATGTCACAGTTCCACAAAGTGGAACCACAATTATGATGAGATCATATCTCAACAATGAATCAAAGGCTAGATTTACTACAGTCGATTTATGCATAAAACACTAATTCATTAGTTTTGTAATTAATCATACTTTTTACATTTTGATACATAAAAATGGGTTTATTCACTATTATAGAATAACAACACTTACCATTTTTTAATAAATCTTTAAGGACAGATATAACTGAACTTTTTTGGACACATGTCAATAATGATAATAAGCATAATACATAAAATATTGTCCACACACAGACAAATATGGTCTTTGCAGTACTTTTTGCTTGACAGTTCTTTTTGATGATTTTCTTATATTGAGGAGGCAGTCCCAGTGGATCAAATTACTCTCCCTTCTCATCTCGACCACTGTAAATACAGATGCAATGGCTACCAGATTTATGACTCGGATCTAGATTGGTGATGTACAATTGTTTTTTTTTTGCATGATCAGGTGGTTTATCACCCGAGGGCCATAGGGTTAAAGTATGGTGAATATGCAGCTTGTTTTAGTTGTAATCATAGACAGTAAACATGTTGAATTTATAAAATGTGAAATAAAATGATATGTATTTTCTTGTCTTTTGTCATAAGAAACAATAAATTGAAATATTTTGTCAAGAACTTTTTTATACTTATCACAGTTGCTTCGTGTGATGTAAGGAGATTTTCAATGGATTTTATAGCACATAGAATTGCCTAAGGGTATGCTTTATAAAACATGTGCCATTTTCATTTAGGTCATACTTATACAAATGCTCACTTTTAAAACAACACCTATAATTACCATCAATTATTGTACTTTGCTCCTATATAGGTGTTTTCTTTATAACTTTCTTATGGGAAATGGTATACCCTACTTTACTCTATAGTACTTTCATATACTATATATATATATATATATATATAT